ATTCATACTGTATACTTCAGAAGGTTATTATGAGAAGTAATGCAGTATTGCCTATAACATACTAATGCATGATAGGACCACGTTAAATGCTACCTATTACTATTATGATTACAGACTACAATTATCAAGGAAAACTGAGATGTGTTCAGAGAAGGAGAGCAAAGGAGAGTGGGATGACAGAAGCCAAGGGAAGAGTTTCCAAAAGGACAGAGCAGGATCAGGTGCCATGGGGGAATAAAGTGGCATGAGAGTTGAAAAGAGTCTAATGGATCTAGCCTGTGGGACATAATGAGTGGCATTTGCCAGAGCAGCGTTAGTGGAAGGCTGAGGTGGAAGCCAACGGATTGGTTGAGGAGTAAACTTGCACCTGAGTGGGAACAATGGCTACCTCCTGCAGATTAGCAGTTTCACTGTGATGGGAAGGAAAGGGAGACAGGAGGGTAGCAGAAGTTTCCAGATGGAGTTCATTTATGAACTCTGAGGCAGTGGCTAGCAAAAGTACTGTTGAAAATTCAAGAGAGAAACAGTGCTGGGATGGGTCCCAAAGGAACCCGAAAGAGATGGCATGAAGCCCACAGGCAGAGGAAAGCCTTAGTCTTGAAGAATCAGGCCATCTGTCCCCCTCTAAGACTGGGGGGAAGGAGGTAAGTGTAAGTTCAGATACAGATGCATTTATAGGTATGGGAGGAGTGGAAGTTGAGAGAGTGTACCTACGGAATAGTTAATTTTTCTTAGTGAAATGAAGGCAGGGTTGTCTGTTGAGAGGGGAAGTGTGAAGCATGCAGTGGTCTAGAACAGTTGCTGCGGGATGAAACTAGCCTGGAAGACAGATAAAATAATTCTAGAGTCCTGATAGTCATGACGTAGCTAATTTGGAGGCCAAGAATTTCCAGTGGCTTTAACTATGTAGGAATGTGAGTCTCTCCAGTACCACTCAAAAGCCCTGGTGCAGATATGTAAATCAGCTGTTATGAAAATAAGTATGAGGTTACAAGTAATGGAAATGAGGACTATGTGACCATAATTCTCTCTGGTTCCTCATGTTCTCCAGAGGCCTCATTTCTACAAACAAAATCTGTGCATATAATTGGGACTTTCAGTCACTGTTCTCAAAGGAAAAGAGGGTTAAAGAACAGACTGTCACACTCCAAAATTCAAAGGGAATCATGTTGTTAATTTAACCCCTTTACCTGGGAACCTCACAGTGTTCCAGGATTACAGGTAGTAAAACAATATACTAAATATTCAGTTTTTGATTAAATTTTATAGCCCTCAAACTTGACGCATGCTCTTTTTTTCACTTAGGATAAAACAAAGTTAAGGGGACTCATACTCAAGGCTTTATGTATAATAGATGGGATTACTAGGAACCACATGGCATGTAAAATAAAACTACACAAACATTTAAATTATTCAGTACGTGTGCCTATGGCACATAATATGTCATCCTGCCGAGTCAAAGGAGCTTAAAGCATCTCTCCTTTATTAATGTCTTTATTCCTATGGTTACCTTTCAGGCCAGTACACAGCTAGGTTTCCCCTCTGAACCTAGCCAATAAGAGAAAAATGTGCCCTGACAGGGAATTGAACATGCAAACTTTCCCTTTGTGGGATAACACCCAACCAACTGAGCCATACCAGTCAGGGCAATGAGTTATTTCTTCTAAAAAAATTAAGGCTTGTCCTTTTGATGTTCAGAAAAAGAACAAAGACAACAGTAAAAAAAAAAAAAGTGACTATGGCATCATAAGTTATTACAAAACAATGAATATATCAATTATCCAGATAGAAGAATATCTCTGGTTATACTTTACCTGCTCTGAGACCATTTGTTCCTATGAAGTTATTGCTCTTGAGAAATAGTTGTCTTTTCAGAGTCTCATAGTAGGTAAATGTGCCTAAATCATGAGTGAAGGAATTCCTAAAATAATGCTACCATCATATTAGCATATTACTCATAAACACAAGTAAAAAAGAACAGATTTCATAAATATGAGTACAGATTTCTTAGAGATGTCATCTAACTGAGAAGATCATTATTGGAAGTTTAATACTGGGATACAAAGTAAAGTCACTGGAACTTTGATATCAGAACTCTTATTAGCTTATTAATTAATAAGGAGGCCAGAATCTACTTTGGTTAATTATAAACATCTTGGACTGCTGAATGAGAGAATGGCATAATTTAGTAAAAAAAACAAAACAAACAAAAAAAAACAACAAGGACTCTTTTATGTGTTAGATATGTAAATACAAAGTAAAGGAGACTCAGACCCTTACTTCAGGAAGGTCTTTATGACTCTCATCTTTCTGAAAATAACTTTGTGACATCAGGTCAGCTCCTTAGTGCAAGAAAGCTCAATGCCAAGTTACAATATGGAAAGAATATGAAGATTTGCCACCACTCATTTATTACAAGAGAACCACATGTTTCTAATGAGAAGGTTATATTCTACAGTGAATGATAAACATTTCTCTAAGTAAAAATTACCCTTAAACATGTCTTAAGAAGCTGTGTGGGGCCATCTTGATCAGTTTTTCCTGCATGACTTGAACAGATTGTTTCTTTTGCTGAATACCCAGGTTACATTTAGAAACTGTGTCTTTTGAAAAATATGTATCTTTAAACAATGTATGAACATTTGGAAATGTGGGTTTGTTTTGTATTTTTTTATAAACCATAAATGGTATCACTTTGTACCTATTATGCATCTCATTTATTTTACCCCCTTACAGTGTTTAAGATATCTTTCAATGTAAGCACATGTGACAAATTTGTATTTTCCAAAAATGGTCACAGTAATATTTCTGGTCTCATAACTCTTTAAGAACTTTGCCTCTCCCCCATCAAGAGGTAGGGTCTATTTCCCCTCCTCTTAAACCTGAGTGAGGCTTTGTAACCCCATGGATAAATTGAATGCAGCAAAATTGAATCGACACTGTACGACTGCTAAGGTTGCATCATAAAAAGTAATCTCTCCCTCCCTCCTCCTTTCTCCTCCTCCTCCCCTCTTCCCTCTCTCCTCCCCCATTGCCCCTTCTCTTCTTTCTTCTCTCTATCTCTCAACCCAACCATCATGCTGTGAGGAAGCCCAAACCAGTCCATACTGAGACAACATGAAGAGGTCCACATGGAGTGGAACTGAGGTCTCCAGTCTGCAGCCCCCAGTCAGCATCCACCGCCAATATGGGAGTAGAAAGTTTTCAGGTGATTTTCCTTCTCAGCCTTGAAGTTTTCCAGCTAAGGCCCTATGCATAATGGAGCAAAGAAAAGTCATCCCTGCTGTGCTATTTGAATTTCTGACCCACAGAATCTGTAATAAATGGTTGTTTTATGCCCTTATGTTATTGGGGGGAATTTGCAATGCAATCAGAGTAACAGAAAGAGCACCTATATATCTATTTCAATGTTTTAAACAATAACAATGAACGGTATTGTTCTATAGTATTTATGTATCATAAGTGTATTTAGTCATTCCTGTGTTGATAGATCCTTAGGTGGTTGGGAATTATTTTTCCTATTATAAACAAGGCTGAAATAAATAAGCTTCTATGTCTATATGTGCACAAATGTTAGTGTTTCTATAAAACCCTGAGTTTTTATAGAAACCTATGCGTTAATAACTACATGTAAGATACTGAGCACAGTGCCTGACAAACAGTAACAAAACATTTTTAGTATTGCTTTTCAATCAATATAAGCTGAACTTCTATATAGAAAGTGGTAATTTTTCCTTAACATCTTTAGTGACAAGGACCCTCACAATTGTATCTAACAGCAGCTATGTTCAGTGCATACCACTGTTTACAGTTTAGATTATGGCAAACACTTGCAAACATAATCAGTCATAGAATTATATCCCTGAACATGTCCATCTGCTGCATACCTGACCCGCTGTACCAAACACTTGTTTAAAAGTTAATTTGCTCCATGTGCTGGTGAATTACGCTACCTGCGTTCCTCTTAGAACAGGTCTGCTCAAAATCATCAGTTGTGGACCTGAGCGGAAAGAGCGAGGCACAGCCCAGGACCGCACCGCAGTGCTATCCCTTCGGCATCCGCTTAGGCGGACCTTTCCGCGGGGGCGGGGGGGGGGTGGGAGGAGCTTCAGGTCCCCTCTTCAGCGTGCTTTGGGCCCTATTACAACTCCTGTCACAAGTTTAGGAATCTTTTAAAAAGTGTTTTAATATTTATTGGGGTGACATTGGTTAATAAGATTGCATAGGTTTCAATGTATGTTTATATGGTGCATGATCTGTATATTGCATTGGAGTGTGCTTTTCAGTCTTTGCCACTCTCTTCCATCCCCCAGGCGTGTTTGCTGCAGCCCAATACCTGTAAATCACAGTTACCTCCAATTTTCCTGGGCGGGGTGAAGGGGGATATCCTTATAGAGGAAGAAGGCTACCTGTCCGCCTTCTCTAGCCTTAAAGGGGCAAAGTCTAGTTAAACATAAGTCATATTTCAACTTGCTCTCCTTTTCGATTTCCCCCGATTTGTTCCATGTTTAAGAGACTAGGGTAACCGTCCCCCTCACTCCCCGCCCCCCCGCCCTCCGCAGGGCAAACATTAAACGAGGTACAGCTGAGCAAAAGCATTTTTAGGAGTCTTGTATATGGCGGGATCGACAGGCCCCGAGCGTGCTGGCTTCGCGGCAGCTCCGTGGGGGCGACGGGCTTGGAACAAGGAGCGCCCGTTCGGTCCATCCCTCTCCGGCACCGCGTTGCCAACTCCGAGGGCTGAGGAGCCCCAAAGCCGGAGAGAGCGGGTTGCGAGCAAGTTACTCCAGAGCCCTCAGCAACTTCCCCGCCCCATAGCCCCACCCAGTAGCTCGCGCCTCTCCCGAAGCCCGCAGGAGACACCTTCGGCACCGCCCCTCCACAGGTCACCTCCCTCCACGCCCCTTTCCCTTGGCCCCGGCAGCCGGCAGGCAGGGAAGTGTCGTAAAGCCAGGCCCAGGAAACTTTACCCGGGGTAACAGCCGAGGCGCTTTACGGCGACGGCGGCTGAGTGTGAGCCTTGGCGGTGGAGGCGGCCGCGGCGGTGAAGGAGGCGGCGGCAGCGGCTGAGGAGAAAGAGGAGTGGCGGCAGTGGCGGCGGGGACCTGTGCCGGGTGAGCCTCGCGGAGGGGACAGGGAGGGGAAACGGTGACAGGGCTGGCGGATGGGCCCGGGCAGACGGGGACGGTGGCCGGCTGAGCAGCTGGGCGGCGCTGAAGAGCGTGAGGGGGTGGGGGGGAGTCGCGGAATTGGGGGGACGCGTAGGTGAGGGACGGTTTCTGCCTTTGTTTCCCCCGCGTCCGCCGTCCCCCGCCCGCTGCCCCCTTTGCTCCGCGCTAGTCGGCCGGGTCTCATGGCCTCCGCTCTCGGTTTGTGTCGCCTTTAGGATGGCGGAGGTACCGCCTGGGCCTAGCAGCCTCCTCCCACCACCGGCACCTCCGGCCTCGGCGGTGGCTGAGCCCCGCTGTCCCTTCCCGGCCGGGGCCGCCCTCGTCTGCTGCAGCGAGGACGAGGAGGACGACGAGGAGCACGAAGGCGGCAGCGGCAGGAGTGCGGCGGGCAGCGAGGCGGCGGCCAAGGGGCGTCCGTGCCTCCGGTGCCCTCAGCCGCCGCAGGAGCAGCTGCAGCTCAACGGACTGATTAGCCCCGAACTGCGGCACCTCCGAGCGGCCGCCTCTCTCAAGAGCAAGGTTTTAAGCGCGGCCGAAGCGGCCACGACCGCGGCCACCCCTGACGGGGGCCCCAGAGCGACTGCAACAAAAGGATCCGGGGTACACTCGGGCGAGAGTCCCCCTCACTGCCTCCCCAGTAACGCAAGAACTGCGCTCCCCAGCCCCGCAGAGGCAGCGGCGGCCCGCAATGGACTGGCGGAGGGCACCGAGCAGGAGGAGGAGGAGGACGAGCAGGTGCGGCTGCTGTCTTCGTCCCTGACCGCCGGCTGCAGTTTAAGAAGCCCCTCAGGCAGGGAGGTTGAGCCTGGGGAGGATCGGACGATACGTTATGTCCGATACGAATCCGAGCTACAAATGCCCGATATCATGAGACTGATCACCAAAGATCTGTCTGAACCCTACTCCATTTATACCTATAGATATTTTATCCACAACTGGCCACAGCTATGTTTCTTGGTAAGTGGATGGAATGAAAAGAGGGTGAACCCAGCAGAGAGACCCAGGCCGTGCGGGGCAGGGAGTGTGAGGGCAGAGAGTGGCAGTGGATCTGCCCTGCCTTTCATAGTACCTTACGTGATGTAAAGTGCGCGCGCGCGCTCCTAAGCATTTAATGAAACTTCTGAAGGTAAGACTTCGTGATCCCGGTTAACTCGATACTGATGTAAATGCAACAAGCCTGTACGTTGCGTGTGGGGGTCTTGTATCCTGTTTGCATTAGCTTATGATAATGTTTAACCTCTTTAATTACCCTCCCTCATTCTCAGAGTACTTTGCAATCATTTAATTTGAACATGATTCTGTTCGGTTGCAGACCTTATTAATCTCTCAATTACAGCTATAATCAGGGAAGAGTGTATGCATAAACATGTTTTGGTGAACATGATTGTCAGTAAACTTACTGTGGCCACGTTGGAGAATTAAATCTTACAGGCATATTCTATAATTATGGAGATTGTTTCCTTTTTACTTCAACAGGACAATTAACAATTGTAGCCAGCCTGCTTTCTGATGCTTGATTGCAGAAGGCGCTATTCACACTTCTGGGGGCTGAAAAACTGAACCTTGAACAAAATACCTTTTTGTGAAATGTAGGAAACTGAGTGTGAAATGGTTACTAACTTTCTTTTTTTTTTTTTTTTTTTTAAGGAACTGGTCATAGATACGCCTAAGTACTAGTAGTAACACTGACTTGTGTTAAGTATAATTGACAGAAATTTTTTTATTTGTATGTAGGCTAAAAAGACCTGGCTACAAATAAGCTGAACAAGTTTTTAAAACTTTACATAGTAGTTTCTTTCCATTTGTATTGACCAATTTCATTCTGTTTGAAACCTTTCCTTTAAATATTAACTGCAGGTATATGCTTTGTATCGTGTGCTCACAGCATGATGTTTCCACTGAATTTTACTGAAAGGCAACATGCTTTTAAGGAGTATTTTATGATATGTAAGAGAAAAGCCACTACCATTATTTATTGTTTCAACATTTAGTTGCACTTGGTAATTCCCTGCAAGATGTTTTAATACTTCAGAAATCCATCATTTTGATTTTATAGCTTCATGATAATCTGAAAATACATCCACAGTATTGTAAATAATAATAGTTCTATTTTCTGTGTTTACTAAATTTTAGTACGTTTGTTTTAATTGTGGGAACTAGTTTATATTCTACGAAACTCCTCTTAGGATTCTAACCATTGTATCAAAAAATGGGAAAATGATTTTTTGGCACTGTTATAAATGTCATATCAAATGCCATTGTAATTGCTAAAAATGGTAGATTTATTTAACTGTAAATTAACCCACAGAAGTGTACAATTGAGTTACACTTTAAATTGAAATAGTATATGTATTTCTGTTAATTTCAGAAAACAGTTGGGTATATACAGGGGTGGGCAAAAATAGGTTTACAGTGTGGGTATGTGAAACAGTTTATTCTTGTTATTTATTAATGCATTATTTTTTATACGAACAACTGTAAACCTACTTTTGCCCACCCTTGTATATGATATTTAGTCAGCTTTTGAGTTCTGATCATAACCTGGCCTCTCTCAACTTCTTTGCCATTTTAGACTCTGATAAATTTAATATTAGTAAACTTTAATTTTGATTTTATGTAGACTCCTACCAGTTTACCAGTTAATTTGTGCTTTAGCCCTTACGGGTCAGTTTAACATTAAATTCTGGATATATAGAAATGGAGATATGCACAAGCAGTTGACATATACATATGGTTTACTAGTGCAAATACTATCTAGTGGTAAGGAACATAAAACAATAGCTAAACAATTAGAGGCCATATAGTTCTGGGGCCTTTATACTGGCATTTTAAAGTTTTGAATTTCCTATAATTAAAAGAAATTTAAGTGGGTATGTTTATTTTAAATCATATCATTTTAGAACTGTAAAGGACCCTAGAGATAAACTAGCTCAACTTAATTTTTTTAACAAAAAAAATTAAGGACCAGAGTGACTTTACAATGTTTAAATCTATAGATATTTAGTGGCAGAGAGGTAAAACTAGAACCTATCTCCTGGTCTCATGGAAACAAGAACCTGAAAAATGACATAACCTTGACACATTCAGCGAAGATGACTGTCACAAGTTATACTTCGAGGGACAGATTGTCCTTACCAACATCAATCTCAGTAATTAGAAATCTCCAAACTGTTTCTCGTTTTCATGAGTAACCTGTAATGGATCTTATGGAATAAATGAGGTTGAACCTTAGAAAATTGCCAATACTTGATTATATTTGACTAACAGAATGACATTTTGTTATGATTCTTCCTAATAATTGTAACATGTGAATGTAGAGTATTATACAAATGGGAGGCACTGTCAATTACCATGTACCTAACTAATTTCTCACTACATCTTTTTGAGTTCATGGTATTTTCAATTGTAGATGTGTTTTTGAGCTTCTTAAACTTATTACCAGTGATGTATAGTACTTCCATTTATTTGTTCTAAACTTAACTTTCCGGCTTCCTCTGGAAACCCTTCTTTCCTATTTTTAGTGTTCTGGAATTTAGGAATCTCCAATTCACACAATTTATATTTTTCAAGTACTATTGATTGATAAACCTTTGGCCTTTATAGAGTTTGTCTTAATCTTGCTAGGAATTTTTCAGTTCCCATCTGAAAAAAGAACACATTTAATAGCATGAGTTCCAAATGTATGTACAGAGGCTTTTTGGAAAAATTAACAAGTAGTTTAGTGATTCTTGTAAGCATATATTCATCAGCAATTTATCGGGAAAAAAATAGCATTGAGCTTCCTCTCTACCAACATTCTGTTAATAATATTTTGTATATTGGACTTTTATTTTTAAATGATGTGTATAACTTGGGTTTTGCTCCTACAGATTTTTAATTAGGAAGAAATGAATTTAGTCCAAGAGGGAACTAATATGCTTTGTTTGCCTTTTACTTCCTTGGTCGAAGGACAATGATTTGCAGTTTCTATCTGATTTGAAAATATTGTCCAGCTGTATTGTATCTAGTAGTTTTAATTTTTCCTCTTTTGGGTGGTTTATTAACTGAAGAACAGCTCTTCTGCAGTTTCATGTTATAGATTTATATAGATTTCCATTTTCCCTAGCTAGTGAGGGAAATTTTTTTAATGTATTATTTGTCTGTGACATGTACACATGCTCACACAACCATAACACATATTTTTGAAGTGAGTTTTCATACCAGAAAATGTTGTCAGAGTTGTTCAGCCAAACAACTTTTGTATATATTTCAGGTCTTAATACAGAAAGAAATTTAAGTTTTCAAAAGATTTTGAAAGCACCAGATTGATTTATCATGATTGAAAATGGAAATTTTAGAGGTTTGTTGTCCCAAAATAGTTGTGGATTGTGTGATAAAACAAATTAATTAGTGCGGATTGTTGAATTTAATATTCCTTCAAAAGGACTTTCCTGATCTAGTTGAGGTTGAGGTTTGCAAGAAATGGAATAAAATTATCTTGCCTAAAAGATTTCTCCACAGTTTTTTTTTAAGAAAAGGGCTTTTAATGCATTTTATAAAATGATGAACTTAATCTCACAACAAATTGAAAGTAAAATAGGTATTAAGAAGTATAAATTGAGTTCTAATTAATAATTTTTTAACCCATTCCTGTTTGTTGTTGTTGAAATAGTTTCTTCTGAAAAGTCAACTTTATTAAGAGATGTGAAGTTTTATTATTTTTTTAAAATGTGGGCTCTTTACAGCAAATAAGTATTTCTGGCTGACACATTATTAAACAGTTCGAGCTACTACCCTATTTACATTTACCAGAATACAGTGTTATTCATACTTTCTATCAGTGATGGAATTTTTGAAAAACATTATCAAGTGGTGCCACTGGAAATCGTAATGACTCTGGAAAGCTGTACATTTTTGTTAAGCTCTGATATTAAGTTCTAGATATTTTATGAGCTTTATGACAATGATTCACACTGCCAAGAGTGTCCTAAAAATGAGACCATTGTATCTCTAATCTTTGTAGTACTTCAATAATAAAAAACTTTTGATTAGGATCCAAGGAATACCATAAAACAATTCTTTTTCTGAAAATTTTTTACATTTTTTTTCCCCTGCTCAAACTCTACTATTCAAGTATAAATATCATGTCTTTTACCAAAGCTTTATTATAATTAAATTTAAATATAATTAAATTTATTATAATTAAAATGATACTCTGCCAATAAGCAAGTTTCGCAATATTTTACCATATCCTAATGAATAGAATTTTTAAGGAACTATTTTTACATATTCTCCCTTTCTCAAATCTTGACTATGTCGGTCTTTATTGCAAATAATTACAATTATAAACCTCTTATAAAGCTAATTATAATTAGAAATCTTTTATAAAACACTCAAATGTTTAACTTGTGGGATTCTTGCTTTTCCCCCCTATGCTTTGATAATAAGCATAAGAAATTCATGTTCTAAAGACTACTGAAAGATTTTAAACTGGAACATTTGAAGGAGCTGTGGAATTTAGAGTTCTGAAACTTCTGTTCTCACTAGAATTCTCATTATTTCTTCCTCAGTAATGCTCACCTGTAGTTGGTTGCTGTTTCCCTGTGTGCAGTACCTGATAGCAGTATATTCTTCATAACTGTTTGTTTATTTTTAAGGCCATGGTAGGGGAGGAGTGTGTAGGTGCCATCGTTTGCAAGCTGGACATGCACAAAAAGATGTTCCGCAGAGGTTATATAGCCATGTTAGCTGTGGATTCCAAATACAGGAGAAATGGCATTGGTAAGAAAAACATTATGTCACTAAAAGAATGCATTAAGTTATTTTTCTTTGTCAGATCTGTCAGTCTGTTCCATGTATCCATGCCTCTGGTCTTGTTTTGTTTGCTGGTGACCTTTTTTCTTTTTTAACCTCCAAACATTTTTTTATGTTCAAAATGCTTTGTTATACTAAGTACTGCAGTTTTTGATAGCGTTATTTGGGCACTTGATCATAGCCCTGAAGCAGCTGTGTATACTTGGGTGAAGAGAACCTCAGTCAAGGCAAAATTATGGAGAAATTGTTACCATTATTTAGCACTGGTTATCAAACATTAAATTAACAATTCAGGGAAGACCAGGAAAAAGAATTCTTACTATTCCCAATCATCTCTTTCTTGGGTCTTCCTTTTTTTGGCATTTTTCAGATAATCTTATAATGGCCAGTAGAATCATCTGGGTAGTTTAAAAACAAATACTTCAGTCTCTCCCTTGAGAATCTTGTTTGTCTTGTTAGAAGCAGGGCTGAAGCTTCCTCAGGCGACAGTGATGTAAACCTGTCCTAGCGTTTAGGAACTACTGGCTCTTTGTTCCAGATGGAAGATCGGGTAGACAAGCAGTTGTCTGAGTATGTCATATTATGGGATCTACTGAAACTAAGTATTCATGAAAGAATATTTGGTGCCTGCAGTATTTAATTACTAGCAGTTTTGTCACTTGTTTTGTTTTTCCCCAAATATTAGTGTTGTTGTCTCATTTAAGGCAGAATCTTAGATATCATGAGAAATTATTATGAATAGGCTTACTTAATACATTAGGTTTAATCAAATTGCAATGTTACAGTTTACCACTAAGATTTTTAATGAATCAGGTGTGTTATATAAGCCAAGTTTGAGACATTAATGCATTATAAAGAGCTGATAAAAACTAATGGCAAATGATAGGCAGTTGGCTATTTCAAAGGGCAGAAGCCAGTAGCTGGAGGGTTGTATCCTAGCCCTCAGACATTTTGTTTGGCCCATATAGTACATGTTTGCTCATGTTTAGAGAATTAAGAGATTTCTTATGAAATTTGGATTTCTTCTCTTAAAATCACATTTGGCAGTTACTTTCCCTTTATGTACCAAATATATCTGACTCTAAACTAGGATATGTTTTGCTAGACATTTGCAAACATCCCTAATGTCATTTGGGAGTGCTTGGAAATGCCAGACTTTAGTATGCCCAAGCTCATTGTAAGGTTTGTAGGAACCAACTCAGTGTCTTGGGCCCACTTTAAGTCACAGCAAGTCTGGAGTGATCTTTGGCAAGATTGGTTCAAGGATCGTGTAGTAAGTCCTGGCCAAGCTCAAGAAGTTCCTAGTTGCTCGGCCATACTCTATCTTGTCTTGTCTTTTTTCCCTTTTCCCTTCAAACAAAATAGCACTAACTCCTGCTTGGAGTACATGATTACACCTGAGAAAAAGGAGTACATCAGGACTCGAGTCTTTCAAGAAGAAACTTATATTGTTATGTTAAGGTTCTGTTGGCCTCTCATTTTAAATCTAAAATTTTTCTCACTTTAATTGAGATAATCTGTGTACCAGCATTCAAGGTAGAACTCAGCATTCAACATTTCTGTGCCGATTATGATATTATAATTTAGATATCTTTAGGAAGCTAATTATATTTTTCCGTCATTAATACTCAGATCTATGTTCTAGGTACTAACTTGGTTAAGAAAGCTATATATGCCATGGTTGAAGGAGACTGTGATGAGGTAAGTCTTGCTAAATGTTTAAGACGTTTTATCCCGGGCAGTATTCTACTGGATATTTTTTACAAATGGCCCATAATAAGTGTGCTGCAGATTTTATTGCACACTTTTGCTATACAAATACAGCTTGTAGTAAAATTATATATTATTTAAACACAATGAATTTTGTGACCTAGAATAAATTTTAAGATGGTAATGGGAGCTAAAATTTGTTCTGTGTCAAAATGTAAAGGTGAAATCTTAGACATTTTCAGTAAATAATTGCTCTTCAGAGGAATTGGTATTCAGAAGACTTGTAATCACTTATTTAAGATAGCTTTTTTTGGAAACCTTATTATAATTTACTTGCATATAAGCCTTAGCTTCTCTCTAAGTAAAACTTTTTAAAAAAACTGTTGGCTGGCACCTCATATGTTGAAAAACATAGCTCAGCATTGAATAATGATAATGCATGGTGGGGGAAGACAACCATTTTTTAAATGTAGAGCTCTTTTCAGCTTGTTTGTAAGGCCTGATGGCAGGTATAATTTCTTTATATGCTATAGCCCTGGGCTTAAACATGTTAGATGTTCAGTAAATTATTGTGATGGTTGGGAATGTTGAGCTTTACTATTGAATAATTTGGGAAGGAATAAGTATAAATTAGGGGAAGTATAGATGTCTATATAGCAATGATGACTGAGAAAGAACAAAGTTGCATTTTATGTATAGTAACATTATAAGCAATACAAGTAGCAGTTGTCTTTATTAGTGGAGAGTAAATGTGCTTTAGAAAGTTCACAAAATACTTAATTGGGTATTTTTTTCCCAACAGACTGACCTTAGTAAGTAAGTTGTCTTGGTTACTTATTAGTAACCAAAGTTTTCTAAAGTTTTTTTTTTGTACAAAATCTTGACACAATCCTTAACCATTTTGTGTGTGTGTGTGTGCAGTTTTTTGTATAAAGTCTCTTATTGTCCTCATGCTCTTCAACTCTTCATTCATTCATTTTTCCACTTAAAACTATTAATAATCTTTTGATATGCATTTTCTCATTTTCTAAGCACACCTGTATACAAGTGTGTAATATTTTCTTATAAAAATCAAATCATAATCATTCTGTAATATTTTTTCCACTTAACAATAACTCATGAACACATTTCCATGTCAAAATATAGAGATTACCACAGAGTATTCTCATGCTTTTTGTTCACAGTAGTTTGTATTCTGACAGATTACACTAAATGGTGGTTGTGTGTGAAGGCCTACAGACACACTAAGCAGCACAGAGAAGTCCTGGGATTTAAGGATATTTAATTTTACTCCAAATGAGATAGTTACACATGGTGGAGGATCTCATATTGTTTGCAGCTTTTAATATCTAAAAGTAAAAGGTACAGTGACCTTGATAATTTCCATGGCTGGTAAACTAAAGTTTGCGTACATTTATGAGTAGAAGTCTGTGTGTTTGGGCCATAGTCACACACTGGCTTAAACAGCTCATTGAAAAGAATGTAGGCTTTACAAAGGTAGCATATTGCTTTGGAGAAACTTTGGTATCTTGAGACCATGTTTTGGTTCTTTACTGCTCTTGGGTAGAGTAGTTTCCAGTGAACAGGGATGCTATGAGCGGGGAGTATTATGTTCCTTATGGTTAAGCATTTTCTGAGTTATCCTAGTCAAATACCTATGAGACAAACTTTACTTAACTGACCAAATATTTAAACAGTATTTGTTTTTTTCGAAAGTGGGAGGAATGATAGGGAGATTTTGGTTGTATTGGTTTAGCTCAAGGTTAAATCCTAAATTAGTGATAAATTTTGTGGTAGAAATAGTTTTTTCATGTGGGCCTAAACACTTAATTCTGATTTGTATTTCTTACTCTTGAAACAGCAGTATTTAATCTTAAACTGAAATGCGAATAGTTTCATGAATTCTAGTTGTATGGTTTTAAATGGATGGTTTTTGCAGTGTAAATAGCTCTGCCTCTGGATTAGAGAACTCTTTCATGGTTTAAAGTAATGTTCAGATAAAGGATTTGCTGTATGAAGGGATAAAACTCTCAAATTTACTCTTTATAAGGGTTTTGCTTTCTTTTTCATTAAGTTTTAAACTATAGCAACAAACTCTTCTATCCCTTTTTTCCTTTTAACTTTTTTAATTTCAGTTATATTTTATTCTATTACAGTTGTCCCAATTTTTTCCCCTTTGCCCCCCTCCACCTTGCACCCCTTACTCCCTCAGACAGTCCGCACACCATTGTCCATCTCCACAGGTCATACCTCTAAGTTCTTTGGCTATTCTGTTTCCTATACAGTACTTTACATCCTCATGGCTATTCTGTGACTACCTATTTATACTTCTAAATATCTCTACTCTTCATCCATTCCCCCACACTCCCTCACATTGGGCAATAATCAAAACACTCTCATCTGTATCCATGATTCTGTCTCTGTTGTTTTTGTTTGCTTAGGTTTGGGTTTTTTTTTAGATTCAATTATTGATAGATACGTATTTATTGCTGTTTTATTGTTCATAGTTTCGATGTTCTTTTTCGTAAATAAGTCCCTTTAACATTTCATAAATAATGGCTTGGTGATGATGAATTTCTTTAGTTTTTTCTTGCCTGGGAAACTCTTTATCTGCTCTTAAATTCTAAATGATAGCTTTGCTGGGTAGAACAAGCTTGGCTATAGGTCCCTGCTTTTCATGACTTTGAATATTTCTTGCCAGTCCCTTCCAGCCTGCAAAGTTTCTTTTGAGAAATCAGCTGACAGTCTTATGGGAATTCCCTTGTTGGTAACTAACTATTTCTCTTGCTGCTTTTAAGATTCTTTCTTTATCTTTAACCTTTGGCATTTTAATTATGATGTGTCTTGGAATCAGCCTCTTGGCATCACCTTGTTTGGCATTCTCTGTGCTTCCTGGCCTTGCATGTCTATTTCCTTCACCAAATTAGGGAGTTTTCTTTCATTATTTTTTCAAGTATATTTCCAATTTCTTGCTCACTCTTTATTCCTTCTGGCACCCATGTGATACAAATATTGGAACTCTTGAAGTTGTCCCAGAGGCTGTTGTCCCAGAGGCTGCTTATACTATTTTCATTTTGTTTGTATCCTCTTTTCTTCTTGTTGTTCTTACTGGTTGTTTTTTGCTTCCTTATGTTCCAAATCATTGATTTGATTTTCAGCTTTGTTCACTCTACTGTTGTTACCCTGTAAATTGTTCTTTATTTCACTTAGTATATCATTTGTTTTTTATTGTATCATTTTTATGCTGTTGAGGTCCTCAATAAGTTCCTTAAGCATCCTTATAACCAGTGTTTTGAACTCTGCATCTGATTGATTGTTTATCTTCATTTTGTGTAGTTCTTTTTTTTTTTTTTTTTTTTTTTTTGGAGTTTTGATCTGTTTTTTCATTTGGGCCATGTTTCTTTGGCTCCTCGTTTTGATAGCCTCCCTATATTGGTTTTTATGTATTAGGTAGAGCTGCTCTGACTCTCTGTCTTGGTAGTGTGGCCTAGTGTAGTAGGTGTCCTATACAGTCCAGAGGCACTCCTGTATCACTGCAGCTGAGTATTCGAGGTGTGCCCTTTGTGTGGGCTGAGTACACCCTCCTCTTGTAGTTGAGCCTTGATTGCTGTCAGCAGGTCAGTGGGAGAGATTTACTCAGGCCAGTCTGCTGCAAGGACTGGCTGTGATCACTGACCACCAACCTTTGCCCTCTGTGGAGGATCACTTGTGCAGGGCAGAGTGTTGGTGCCCCAGTGTGGTCTGTAGCTGTCCACTGGGTGCACAAGCTTTGGTGTTTTCCTGGGTGGTGCGGGCCAAGGTCAGCCCCCACCTGTGTTTTGCCTAGAGCCGCCCTGCCAGAGCTATACAGCAGTCTGAGATGGCTGCTACTTGTGCTGGGCTCGGAGATTCCAAGGCAAAGACAAGCTAGGGAATCTAGGCTGGCTACTGCTAGTGCCAGGCCTGGGGCCACATAAGAGGTATGGGGGTTGGGGGCTCACTGAGGCTACCTGCTGCTTGTTTGACAGGATTTAGGAAGTTGTGAAGCATGAGCCCCAAGACCAGCCATTCATATGGAAAAGCTTGGGTGGGCCCATAGGTGGGGTGGGATGGAGTCTCAGGGGATTTCCAGGGCAGGGCAAACAGTGTTAACCAGGTTGATGTAGTCTTAGATATGGCCTCCTCCAAACCCCTACCTGCCAGCTCTGTGGCTCTGTGGCTCTGTGGCTCTGTGTGGGGAGGGTTCTGAAAAGGAAGGTAGTGTGGCTTCTGCCCACCTTTCTGACTGGGAGAAAGCTGTCCTCAAGCTTTTGTCTTGATGCCAGACACTTCAGTCCCTCCCTGTATGCTACTGGTGCCTTTCAAGCTGCTACCTTGGTGCTGGAGCTCAGAGAGAGTGAGTCTGAGTAAGCCCATGTGGGTTTTTTAAGGGGAACTGCTTGGGACTCCAGCAGTTCCACCAACTCAGTCCCTACTGATTTTTGTAGCCAGAAGCTGTGGGGACTTATCTTCCTGGCACTGGAACCCTAGGCTGGGGGCCTGGTGCGGGGCTGGGAGTCCTCGTTCCCAAGATACCCTCCCAAATTTTTATCCACCACACATGGATGTGGGACTGGCTGTTCTGTGTCTCTACCCCTCCTACCAGTCTGGATGGATGTGGTTCCTTTAATTTGGTAGTTGTCAGACTTCATTCAACTCGATTTCTGCCAGTTCTTAATGATGTTTGTTCTGTATTTTAGTTGTAATTTAGATGTGGCTGTTGCGAGGAGGTGAGCCGTGTTTTTTACCTATGCGCCATCTTGGCCAGACATCTTTTCTTTTAGTTTTTGGTAGTAGTGTGTGTTGGGTCCACTTTATATTGCCATTTCATCCCATTTAGTTTGGTTTGTTCCTCCTTTACTCCTTTGTAACTACTTTCTAACTGATTATTTGCTTGACTAGTAGCTTCTCAGTCCTCTGCTTATTAAAATACTTCTCAGTCTTTAATACCCAATTCAAATATCAACAACTGC